TAGAGGCAGCATGCACCAGGAGCAGCCAGAGTGGTACTGCCCAGCTCCTTCCCTGGGAACTGCACTTAGCATGTTAGCATCAGTCTATCAAAACTTTGAACTGTGTCTGTGAGCATTTATGTTTTTTTCTCAATTAATTCTGTGCATCCATTAGTAAGATGTGTCCTAAGGTATCAGAAAAGCTTGAGAGAGCTCATAAGGTTGTTTGTTATACTTAGTGTAAAACTGGATGTGGTTCTGCTAGTAGTACTCTCTTCTAGTTGGCATTCAATAATGCATAAAGGGGAAAGTCTATTGTTTGAGTGGATTGATGGGTGTACAAAGCATTGTGTGTATTTATCACATCATTTCTTCTTTTGTTAACACTATATGTTACTGTTATTTTGACTTTTGTGTGTTATTTGGTATGATTTGGTAGGTTATTATTTTGGATCTGGGAACACTTGAAAGTTTTTCCACATAAACTAATGGCAATTGCTTCTTCATTTTTCACCGCTTATGCTTACAAAAAGTTGCATGGAAACGCTCTGCTTTAGATAATGGGAGAAACCTGTATTTACACAAGAGACTCTTAATTCTGAACACACTTTTATACTTTACTCAACAGTGTTAATCTTCACTCTGTCCAACCTGTATCTCCAGGCAACTGGAGTAAGTACTCCAGAGCCTTGTGAGATTAGTTATAGAAAAAGAACTACATGTTTATAATTAAATGTGGAGGTGGGGCACAGTATGGTACATACATTTTCACACCTCATTACATGCATAGAGGATAGCTGATGAAGTCTTTAAGGAAAATAGAAATAAGAAACACAGTCAAGTAATGGTCTTCATTACATAAAGAAAGGATTCAGGGGGGAAGGATCTGTTTTGCAATTAACAAAACAAAAGCTGATCTATCAACTTGAATTGAGAAGCAGGTTAAACATTTCAGTACTTATTCACATATACATGCAAATAAAAAAGCAAACTGATGGCTACCTCCACCACCACAGTCATGTGTTATATGTATACAAAGTTAGATCAAAGTGGTAGCTAATACTATTACATTCTGCAGTTGTTCAAGGATGACAGTTGAGAAAATTTGATGACAGAGGATAAAAATAACACTTGTTTGGGCATAAATGGAAGTTTCTTTTCATTGAACTATGTGAATGTTCCTCATGTCACCCACAGCCCTAGGAACCTAAGAAAATAATTTGACAACATTAACAAGTGTTCACCACCTCATCAAATTATAATTATATTTTACAGAAATGAAAAATAACTATTGTAAACATGAGAACAAATTGAGGTAATGATAAAACAACCAATAACTATTGGGCTTAATTCCAATCCCAGTTTTATCATTTAGTAAATAACGTGCATAACCTATGTTCAAGTAGTTTTTCACAGTTTTAAACAAAACATTTGACATAAGTTAGTTCATAACAATTTAGAAGCAGATGCAGAAGCAGAAATGCTTACAGTTCAAATGTGCTCTGTTGACAAGGAGACTATGGCCTAGTTATTTATTTTTTAAAAATATGGAATCTTTAGCTCCCAGCTTGACAGTCAGTTACAAAAAGCAGAAGGCACCTTAACGTTTCCTCTGGAGGGTATTATCACTGCACTCCAGTATCAACAATGGGTAGAAACACATGTGCTCTATCATACTTTGACCTTTATACATCAAGTCAAAAGAATCCTGAGCAAGGTCAATTTTTGCATCCAGTGTGCACTTTGTGGAGATGTAAAAGAATATTTTCACAGAATTGGATGTGAAAATTTCATTGTTATTTGAATAAAATATATTTATTTCTATGTTGTGACTCTGCAAGAAAACAAGGCCAGGAGAGGCATTTCCTCAAAGGCTAAAAGAAGGCATTACTACCACTACCGGTACTTGCCAGGGGATTTACAAAGCATCTTGAAGCACAAAGTTAGTATGGGAGATGAGCCAGGCTCAGAAGTTAACACAGAGAAAAAGGTGGGAGTATTCACACCTCCCTCCACTTTTGCCTGCCAATACAACAAAGTACTTCAGATAGTAACTCCTAGTAGTCAGGTAATGAATTATGTTCTTCAGTGTTCGTGTTTGGGTTTGTCTACTTCCATTATGATTGTAAGGGTCGGAATTCAAGTTTAAAATCCTTGGGGGGAAAGCTGTTTTTGTAATTTAACCGGAATGTCCTTGTCTTAGAGTTTCCCACTGCATCAGTGCCTTAACCTGGTATGATAGCCATGATAGTGCATTGCCTTTTAGATATAATGCAGGACCAAGGGCAAGGCTACTGGTGCTTATTAAAGATTCCGTGCTATGTTCACAAGAGTAGGGGCATTAGACTCTTGTCTACTGACCAAATTCTAAATCAGGAGATCACATTCTGCTTTCCTAAATTCCCCTAGCAGAAACAGTCATCCACAGTATCCTACTTGGCTTCCTGTGCTAAACTGTAGTGTGATGTCATTAAATGGCACTGGTTTTCTACTGTAAAATTGTTTACTTCTCAGTGGAGTGGTGAGTAAATTGGTACCTATTGTCTGATATTCAATCCAGTTTCAAACAAATCAAAAGGTAGGCTCAGATAGTTAAGAATAAAGTATAAAATAAAACAAACCCCCCTAAGAGTGTACCAGTTTTTGTGGAGCACCGTTTTGGAGATGAAACACCAATTTCAGCCATGGCCAGTGTGGCTCAATTCGTTGGAGCATCATGTCATCAGCAAAATGTTGCAGGTTTGATTACCACTCACAGCACATACCTAGGTTGTAGGTTCAATCTCAAGTACCAGGCGTACAACCCCCAGTTGGGGTGCTTACAGGAGGCAACCAATTGATGCTTCTGTCTTGCATCAATGTTTTTTTCTCTCCCTTCCTCTCTCCAGCCCTCTCTCTCTAAAAGCAATTTAAAAAAGTCCTTGGGTGAGGATTAAAAAAAACCATGGATTTCAGTTTATTTATTTATTTTTAGCTTGTGAAACATTTTTTGAAACCAATCTGCTTTCCCTTCTGCAACATAGACAAAAAATAATTTTTTTTTACTCTGCTAGTGCTTGGCAATGAATTATTATTTGCCTCAAACAGGATAGTTCTAAGAGTTATGATACAATTTGAGAGGCTGAGAGCACATATTAGAAACCAGTTAACCCACTCCTTTTGTCTTTAGGTTGCATGTAACCATTTTAGACAGTTAATCTATTTCAAAAAGTCTTTTTAAAAGGAGAATCTTAATGTTACCTTGAAACATATTTTAGTGTTTCTCAATCTTTCCATAAACACTAAGTTCTTATTTTTGTTTAACTTCCGTTCCCCTACTGTAGTTTAATGCCACCATCTTTTATCCATCACTACTAACTTTGCTGTCATATAACAAGAGGCAGTTTGCACAATGGCATGGTTTCTGGAATAACACATACCCGCATTCAAATCCTGGCTCTGTCACTTTCTAGGTGTGTGACGTTTGACAAGTTGCTTCTAAGGTTCAATTTACTCATCTATAAATGAGCAACCTCAGAGGAGAGTTACTGTGAACATCAAATGAGATACTATATTATTCTGAAGGACTATGGGATAAGATGAGGCATGGTACTTAGCACCCAACAAGAGCTCAACGAATATTAGCTATTTATCTGATTATGTACCCAGATATAAGTTAAATCATAAACTCTGAATGAAAAGCATACTTCCTAGATGTAAATGTAAGTGCAGTGTTGTGCACATAGTATAGTGCAGAGGCTCAGTATTTATTGAATGAATAAACATTTTTTTTCCTAAGTGGAGTGAGCAGCCCTCAGCTGTTTACAAGATCCCACACATTTAGCTCAAAAGTGACTAAATCAATCATTTCTATGATGTCTCCACTTTGTCTATATATTTTGGCATGGTGTAGAGACAACACAAATAACTTATATTTTCTATCAGATTGACTTCTATGAATTTTAACATTGTACTATTGTCTTAGGTGCTCAGAATGGGACTGACATAATTATAGGACTCTTCATGCACCCAAGTTCTCTTTGAGAAATTTAAAAAAATTAATACTAAGAACTGTCTAATAATATACCTGAACAAAATCTTTCAACTTGTGACTCGTTACACTACATGCCTTATTGTATAGATCATGTAAGATCTATGCTGACTAAAGACGTATTTCTAATTGTTTCCAAGCCAAACACACACACACACACACACCCATAATCCACCACCACAGGTTCCAGGCACAACTAACATCTTTGAACCAGTGAGGTGTTAGTTAGGACTTTACCTTTTGCTTTCAAACATTTTCACGGATCAAGGTGGGACAGTTGCGGGAAAAGTAATACATAGATTGCATTGCACGCGCATATTTGTCCACAAGCAAACAGTATTGCTATTTTACCATAATCTCGGAAAACGCCTGGTGCGTGTTTAGGTTGGTATTAAAGCCATCGCCCTGTGGCCATTTCCCCGATACTTTGAATATACTTTATAGGAACGGTCTCAGGTGTGGAGTTCTGAGCACCTGCATACTCACACTCCAGCAGTTCAGCAACCAGCGTGTTTGAGGCAGGTGGCTCAGGTTCCACGTAACTTGGCTCAAGTGTCACTAACACTACGCGAAGCTCCGGTCATCAAGCTGTGTTTTGGGACTTGGATACTTCCGACTTTCTTCTCCCCGGCCACCCCCTCCCCCAACTTGTTTCCCTTTTCCTCCTTCCTCTCTGGTAGTGCCCACATCCTCCCTTCGCTCCCACTCTTCGCATTTTCCTAGTTTCTTTCTTCCTTTCCATCGGGCTTCCCGTCTTTTATCCTCCGTGAGCCCCAGGGCCGAGGCTACGCATAGGAGGCGAGAAGCCCGCGGGACTGGCCCGAAGGGCAAAGCCGCGAAAGCATGGGGCGCGCGCCAAGGCTGGGGTACGCAGTGGGCCGCCTCGTGGCCGGGCAGCCAGACCGTGAGCTGCGCGCGCGCCTCGCGAGCTCCTGGCGCGCCCCCGACGACCGGGGCCGCAGCGTGCTCGCCCCCGCCGCCAGCTCGCCTCACTTATGGGTCGGAAACCGTGCGTGGGGGAGATTGTTCCAAGATGGCGGCCGGTTGCTGCGGGGTGAAGAAGCAGAAACTGTCCAGTTCGCCCCCCTCTGGCTCGGGTGGCGGTGGTGGCGCCTCCTCCTCCTCCCACTGCAGCGGAGAGAGCCAGTGTCGAGCTGGGGAGCTGGGACTAGGAGGCGCCGGTACGCGGCTCAACGGGCTGGGAGGTCTCACTGGGGGAGGTAGTGGCAGCGGCTGTACCCTCTCTCCCACCCAGGGCTGCGGCAGCGGCGGGGGGATTTCCCTGTCGCCACCTCCGAGCTGTGGAGTGGGGACCCTACTTTCCACCCCGGCCGCCGCCACCTCTTCCTCGCCCTCCTCGTCGTCCGCTGCCTCGTCTTCATCGCCCAGCTCCCGGAAGATGGTGGTGTCAGCGGAGATGTGCTGCTTTTGCTTCGATGTGCTCTACTGTCACCTGTACGGATACCAGCAGCCCCGGACCCCCCGGTTCACCAACGAGCCCTAGTGAGTACCGCGTCCTCCGCCGCCCTCTCCCTTGCGCTCGGGATGGGACTCACAGTTGAGGTAAAGTAGGAGTCCGCCTCCCCGCCGACGGCTGCTCCTGCCCTTCTCGCTACCCCGGTCCCCGTAGCCAGTAGACCTAAATCAGGGCACCCTGCGCTTTCTGCGGCAAGCATCCCACATTTGGAGCCTAGTGCCACTGCAAGAGATGGGTCGCTGGCTTCCAGAGGTGTTCGCTTTCTTTTTACAATAACTTTGAGGAGTTCTGACCCTTTCCTTCTCTCTTTCGACATCCCGCGTCCCCACCGCCTGGGTTTTGAAGATCTGGCTTACTCAAGGTGTTGACCTCTTCTTTCTTCGGTTTTCGTTAACCCCGGTGAAAGTCCCACCAGTATTCCCGCCTTGCTCATAGAGGCTTACTATCCCATTGCAGGGTGAAATAGCAACTATCCAACTTCTGTTAGTGATGGAACTTAGCACCAGAGTTAAGTTTGGGTTTCCTTGTGTCCTGGGAAGGGAGGAGGTTTTTTAAAAACACGTTTCCACTTGCTACCTATTTTTTTTTTCCGCGAACAAACCCATTAAAACGTGTTTCTAGTGAAGCACACCTCCAACTCTCTAGCATTTGAGGAGTGAGACCTTTTTTTTTTTTTTCTTTCATTCCACCGTCTGGGTTATAGCTCATTCAGAGAGCTGTCCCCATAGAACCACTGTCATTTTGTACATTAAGTGTGCATTCGGTTTTTTGTCAATTTCACTTTTTAAGAACTCCATATTAGACTTGACGATTTTAGAAATAGGTGATCGCCACGATTTAGAAATAGGTGACGATTTTAGAAATAGGTGAACCATTTTTATGGTTTCCTTTAGTTTTGTACTTTTTAGTTATTTTATCCTTCAAGTATGTGGTTGAAATTGTTTAAAATCGCACTGTTACAGTTGAAAGCCAGGTTAATTCTGATTCTCGTCCATTTGGATGTGTGGGAGATTGGGCATATGTTTTTTTTTTTCCTGTAAACTGAGTATAACCTGACTTTATAAATTAAATGCTAGACAGAATGTAAAGCCCAGGGAAGGGAAGAATGACAAAGAGGGCAATTGTTTTTATTATGAGTACTTAGCATCAACAAGAAAAATAATAGAGAAAAATTTCAGAGGAATTTATACAGAAAAGCATCAACCCATTTGCTGTTGATGACAAGTGTCCCTTGTCCCCATATCATAAATACCTGAATTAATGTTCTTTATAACTGCTTCTTTTCACTTTGCGAGATTAGGGATTATACTAAAATTGAATAAGTACAAATACTTATGCCTAGACTAAAAATATTAAATTAATATGTAAAGTGGAAATTGCAATAAAGTGTTCTGGAACTTGTAATTTTGTATGATTTGTTTTCTTTGGCTTTGATACTTTAACTGTATTTAATTTTGTATGACTCTTCTATGTTCTGTGCATTTTCTTCCAGACTTTGTTCATCTTTGGGCATTGGTTCTTAAGAAATACATGAAATGGCATCCAGACTGACACTGTCAAGTCAATTCAGTATCTTTATAAATATCATACTTTTAATTCTAAGACCTTAAATGCTAAAGTTACACCTTTACTTTGCCAATTTGTTCTTTGGTTAAAAAGTAAAATTCATTTTGAAAAGACTGCCAGGTGAAAAAAATTATGAAATATTTATTAGCATGAGTCACTTATTTGTGACTTTTTTGCCTTCTCCTGGGTGTCTGTGATGTGTAAGAGTTAGTCCTGGGATGATACATAGGTTGGTTCTGCAAAGTCATGGGACCACAAAAATTCATTGCTGTGTAGTTACAAGTTTGGCAAAGGCTGTTTTACTATTCATGCTCCATTGCTCCAAAGCATATGAGAACACACTTTCAGGAGGTGCTATTCTCACACATTTTAAAGTGAGTTTGAGTTAACTGAATGACTAACAAGAATTTTAAAAGGAAAGTGAGCTTGACCAGTTCATATAAAAAATGCTTTTGAAAATGTACTTTAACAGTAGCTACTTTGAACACGTACTGAGGTATTGTTTCTCTTCTAATAGCCCATCTACTGGCTTTCTTTTTCATGAAATTAAACAGATAAAACATAACACTTTTGATTACTGTGGATAAGTTGAACTAGAAGAATAGTAAGCTGTCTTTGAATGTGTCATGTATTCTACAGAATGACTAATTTAGAAGAGACACTGAACATGAACAAGGGCAGAATGAAAGTTCACTTAAGTGGAAGGAAGACTGCATCTTATTCTGAAAGTCAGTTTGAGGTGTTTTGTGGGAATTCAGGAAACTTGCTTACAAGTAGTGTTTGATTTTGGGAGTGAAATAACTATAATCACTTGACAGTGCCTTAGTAACCAGCACACATTTTTTTTCTCTTTTACATACAAGGGGCAAAGTAGGTTTACAGTTGTTTGTGTGGAAAACAATACAATAATTAATAAATAATAAAAGAATAAATTCTGTGTCTCATGTACTCAAAACTTGTAAACCTACTTTTGCCACACCCTGTAGTTAACAACATTGTGTACTCACTAGTTTGGTTTTGTGGTGGGGGCCCTAAGACAAATAGGCATACTGCTCATTTTCCCCTCAGAGTTACTAGTATTGTGTCATGAGCAGTGGTGTTTCAGGTCCTGTCTTTGTCCACCAGAAGATGTGCTTTCCACAATTTGAGATTCTTTTGTGTAAAAAGCACACCTTTTCATCCCTTCCCAGGACCTTACTGTCAAAAGTGTCTGTAACTGGTGAAATCTGCCTTTTGTGGGTGTAGAAGTCCTAGATGGCATCAGTTTTCCTTCCACTCTGAAAGGTTATAACAAATTTTCAGTGATCTATCTGTTTCAGGTTTGAGGGATTGGTGGGGATGTCAATATATGAACAGGCTGTATGGATACAAATTCTTCACCATTGCTGCTGTTTTCTTGGATTGCCCACCTCACTGCAGAGAGGGAACAGTAGCTAGAGCTTGGGAGTATGGTAGAAACTTGTTTAGTGGAAGACAGGTAACATTTGTGCATTACCAAATCCTCAATTTCAGTTGTACAGTTGTAACGGGCACATTTGCTCACAGAAGTAATGTTCAAGACATGGTAAAAATGTGACTTGACCTGCACTTAACTATTCCAAGTCATTTCTCTTGGATTTATATGTGGGAACCCAGTTAGCCATGCTATAGAAAACCATAAAGGGATCCACTGTGCCTGCCAGGTGTTGAGCCAGTTAAACTGTACAGCAGTCATTCTCAACCTTGGCCGCACTTCAGATCACTGGGGAATTATTAAAAATATGGATGACTGAGTTCCAACCCCAGAGATTCTGATTTAATTGGACTTGGATGGGGCCTGGGCATCAGAATTATTAAAAGCTCCCCAGGTAATTTTAATGTGTGGCTGAAGCAGAATACTGGTTGTATTTGACTAAGTCTGCCCCAGAGATTTGGATTAATTTGGGCTGGGGTGGTGCCTTGGAACCCGTATTTTATGAGCACCATGGGTAATTTTGTTAAATAGCCAGTTTGGGAAACACTTGCAATATGGTCTGCAGAAGACATCACCTGGGAACTTGTTGGAAATGATGGCTCTAAGGCCCCACCCCAGACCTGCTGAGTTAGAATCTGCATTTTAACAAGTTCCCCAGATGATTCTTATACACATTAAAGTCTAAGGAGGAGTGGTTCTTGAACGTACATCATAATCTCCTGTCGTGCTTGTTAAAACACAAATTGTTGGGCCCCATTCCCAGATTTTCTGATTCAGTGGGTCTGGGGTGGGGCAGTGAATTTGCATTTCTAACAAGTTCCCTGGTGGTGCTGCTGCTGCTACAGTTCCCAGAACCACAAGTGAGCCCCTCTGGGTTGGAGAGTAGTGAGGACCTGAATACTACTTGAGCCACTCTAAGGGTATGGCAGATTTCAGTGCCAGTTTCCAGTGTAAAACTTCCTGCCTTCATGTCACTGCCCTTTACCATCTTCTTTCCAGTTTAGCACCAGGAAGATTGAATGCTGCCTTGATCATAACAAGAGCACGAGGTTCTTGGGATGGTTTGAGGAGGGGGGAGAGTGACTCTTGAAAACCTGTAGTGTGATTTTATATTTTTTTCCAGAGATTTTGTTAAATGCCAGGGGCACAGATATATCTTACAGTGAGCTGTATTGATTTTAATAAATAAAGCCCCCCCCTCTGTTACCATAAGAAAAGCTTTGGTAATTAGCTTACTAAATAAGCTGTTGTGGTAAGATTTTAAAAGCTTTACTTACATTTATGTGTGCTGGATTGCATTTTAAGAATTTCCCCTATTAACAAAGAAATATAAAAGGACCCTGCTAAGGCACTGGGATTGTTTAGTTTTATATCTTTAAAGCTGTGTTGCATGTCATGTCCCATGAATTTTAATTTTAATCTTCTTACCACCTTCGAAGTTAATGCAATTCTGCATTTTGTATAGACCATAGCAAATAAGAGACTTTACTATTAAACATCAATAAGTGTGGTTTTCCATTACAATGAATTATTATCATTACTTTTTATTTTTTTACAAATCTGCTCATGCAGATTTTAAGACACTCTGATCAGGTGTTTGAACTGTTAACTCTTGCTTGTCTTGGCACAATAGTCAAATTACTGTGTTTCAGCCTGCTTCGGAGGGATTACTTTGTGGTAGGGAGGTGAAGCAGGCACTCTGTTTCACTATAACAGTAACTATCCTGTTGCACATTAGTAAAAAAAAATGCCTTGATTATGCAGTTCAGGTCAAAGTGATATTAAATCAACATTTTAAACACAGGCTATTACATTTCTATTATATCTTTTTTGATGAAAACTGACCAGAATGGCTGGAAGGTGTATCTGTCTATTGCAGATGATGGTACTAGGCTATTGCAGATTTCCTTATTCATGCTAGCATAATGGTCACAATGTCTAGATTTTCTTAAAAAATTGTCTGAAAAATTGAATGTTTGCTATAATACGGGTTCTTTTCAATACTGT